GTCCAGTATATAGTTAATAAGGTGTTAGATCTTTCCTGCTAAGAATATATGATTATTAAAATTCTTCACAGGATCAGGGAATCTACAAGTTGCATAATTTACTCACATAAATGACATGTAAGGGTAGAATTTGTGATTTTTCTCCATTCCAGATCTTACTTTATTTAACAATAATTAAAAATTTAATCCATTAAATAATGGATAATCAGAAAATATTTGCTTTTCCCCATATTTGTAGTAGTTCTGATATATTTTCTGACTTTTTGTATTACTATTTTTATTTTCAACAACAAAAACTAATTTCTGATAAAATTTCAGTTTTATAGCAAACTTGTAAGGGAGGGCCAACCTAAGTAGAAAATATACTGGAGTTATAAATTCACTCCAATTTTATTGCTTCACTTTGTTATTTAGTTATCTAACAATTTATAGTCTATAACTAAGAGAGAACTTTTCAGTTATTTCACTGATGGGTGAATTCCCTTTTAGTTCTATGTGTGTATTTTTTGGCTTTGTTATTTGTATGTATAGTATTTTAAAATCATTTTAGTGAAGATTTGATTTCCTTTTCTTGTGTTCTTGAATCGGTCATTGTTTAAACAAATATCCTGAGTTATACTCAGCATTTAAAAAAAGTCAATCTTATTAAGATATAATTTTATATAATGAAATAGATTTAAAAGTAAATTCTAATAACAGTTCACAGATATGTACGTACATGTAACTCGTCACTCCAGTCAAAATACAGAATGTTTCCATCACCCTAGAAAGTTCTCTTGAGCTCGTTTGCAGCCAGTCTTCTACACTGCCTCTCACCTCAACAACCAACAGTTTGATTTCCATCCCCTTTGATTAGTTTTCTTTTTATTGCTGAGTAGTATTTCATTGTATAAATGTACAGTTGATTCACCCATTCAGCTGCTCTAGGACATTTGAGCTGTTTCCAGTTTTGTTTTGTTTTTTTTTTTGTTATAAATAAAGCTGTTCTGAATATTCATGTACATGTCTTTTCTTTTTAGAATTGCTGTTATATAAATATATGTTTAATATTGTAAGAAAATGCCAGCTTGTTCTCCAGATTGGTTGTACCATATCACACAGCAATGCATGAGAATGCCTCTTACTCTATATCCTTGTCCACACTTACTTTTGTCAGTTCAATAATTATTGGTGTGAAGTAATATTACATTGTGATCTTAATTTTAATTTCCCTGGTGATTAATGAATTTAGCATCTTTTCATGTGCTCAGTGTCTGTTAGTTTATCTTATGTTATGATGTGTGTGTCTTTTGCCCATTTAAAAAAGATGTGGTTTTTGTTTTCTTGCTGAGTTCTAAGAGTTCTCTTTTGTATTCTGAATATGGTCCTTTATCATATACATGTATTACAAATGTTTTCTTCTAGTCTGTGGCTACACTTTTCACTTTCTTAAAAGGGGCTTACGAGTAACAGAAGGTTTTAATATTGATGAAATGTAGTTTATCAGTATTTTACTTTACGGTTTATGTTTCCTTGTTCTGTCTATAAATACTTTGCCTAACCTAAGGCCATAAAACTTTCCTCCTTGTTTTTCACAGAAATTTAATATTTTTAGCTTTCGCATTTAGGATTCTGATCCATTTTGAATTAATTTTTATGTATGGTACAGGTGCAGTATTCATTTTATTATCTAATAACTGGTTGTTAATATTTAGAAATATATTTGATTTTTGTGGACTTGCTCCCTGCAAACTTATAAATTCACTTATTAATTCTAATAAAAGTTTAAAAAAAATTTTATTAACACAATTGTGTTGTTTGAGAACACACAGAGTTTTAATTCTTTGTTTCCAACAGTTATGGCTTTCATGTATTTTTCTTGCCTTATTGTCCTGGCTAGAACCTATTGTACAATATTGAATAAAACTGGTGAGGGCAGAATCCTTGCCTGTTTATAATCTTTGGAGAAAGCACTTAATATATTACCATATTGTATGAGGCTAGCTGTAAAATTGTTATTGTTTTGTAGATGCATTTTACCAAAAAGAGAAGTTCCTATGTATTCTTTTTTTTTAAGATTTTATTTATTTATTTGAAAGAGAGAGAGAGTGCACACACAAGCTGGGGGAGAGGCAGAGGGAGAGAGAGAGAAGCAGCCTCCCTGCTAACCAGGGAGCCAGATGTGGGGCTCCATCCCAGGACTTTTGAGATCATGACCTGAGCCAAAGGCAGACGCTTAACCGACTAAGCCACCCAGGTGCCTCGAGAAGTTCCTATGTATTCTTAATTTTCTGCAAATGTTTATTATGAATAGCTGCTGAAATTTGTTGATGCTTTTTTTCTGTCCTTACTGAGATGATTATATGATTTTTCTCTTTTATTCTGTTAATGTGGAGAATTATACTGATTAATTTTCAAATGTGGGTAAACCCAGTCATGATGGAATTTTAAATATTGTTGGATTTTATTCATTACAATTTTGTTAATTTTTGTGTCTATTTTTATGAGAGATACTGTCCTGTCATTTTATTTTTTTCCCCTTTTTGTGCCCTTTGTGGTTTTAACTGAGCATTTTATTTGATTCCATTTTATCGCCTCTCTTTGCATATCAATTATATTTCTTTTAAAAAAAAGTTAGTGGCTGTCCTACAGTCTGCAATATATACTAACTAACCTAAGTCTACCATCAAATAACATTATGCCACTTCACAAGTCATATAGGGATCTTATAATAGACTATTTCTAATTCTTCCATTTCACTCTTATGACATTACTGTCATTCATTTCACATATGCAAATGCTATAATCATGCAATACATTGCATGACTTTATTTATATTAAATAACTTAAATATAATAAATAAATTATTTATTTATTTATTTTAAATAAAGAAGTAACTGGGTGTGGATCCCACTATAGGGCTTGAACTCACGATCCTGAGGATCAAGACCTGAGCTGAGATCAAGAGTTGGTTGCTTAACCTACTGAGCCACCCAGGTGCCCCTACATTGCATGACTTTAAATAAAAATGAAAGACTTTGTTTTACTTTTATTCTTTCCTTCTCCAAAGCTCTTTTTTTTTTTTTTTAAGATTTTATTTATTTGAGAGAGATAATGAGAGACAGAGAGCATGAGAGAAAGGAGGGTCAGAGGGAGAAGCAGACTCCTTGCTGAGCAGGGAGCCCGATGTGGGACTCGATCCTGGGACTCCAGGATCATGACCTGAGCCGAAGGCAGTTGCTTAACCAACTGAGCCACCCAGGCGCCCCTCCAAAGCTCTTTCTTAATGCAGATCCACATTTCTAACCTATATGATTTGTTTTTTCCTTGAAGGACTTCATTTCTTGCAGGGTAGGTCTACTGGTGATAAAGTCTCAGTTTTTCTTCATCTAAGAAGTCTCTAATTTTTCTTCAAATCTGAAGGATAATTTTGAAGCATAACTGGTGGGGTCTTTTTCACCTTCAATACTTTAAATATTTCACTTCACTCCCTTCTAGCTTGTATGTTTTCTGACGAAAAGTCTGATGCAATTCTTATTTCCTATCTTTGCTTCTCTTCAGGAAACTTCCCCCACCCCCACCCCCAGCTTCTTTCAAGATATTTTTTTGTCCTTGGTTTCCGGCAGTTTGAATATGATATGCCAACATGTAGACTTTAGGATATTTTTCCTGCTTGGTTACCTCTGAGGTTTCTGGATCTGTGATTTGGCATATTTCATTGATTTTCTAAAGTTGTTGGCCACTATGAAAACACTTATGCTCTGCTCTTTATTCTTCTGATATTTTAAATACACTTATGTTGCATCATTTGAAATTCTCCCACAGTTCTTGACCGTTCTTCTGTGTTCCCTCACCAACCACTCTTTTTTTCCCTCTTTGCATTTCAGTTTGGGAAGTTTTATTAACCTATCTTAAAACTCACTGGTTCTTTCTTTGGCTGTGTCTGGTCTACTGATGAGCCCATCAAAGGCATTTTTCGTTTCTGTTTGTATTTTTGATTTCTAGCATTTGCTTTTGGTTCTTTTATATAGTTCTAATCTCTATGCTAGAGTCAGAGAATGCCCTTTCCCCAGGTGGAATAAAGCTCTGATAAAGTCTTTCCCACTGGAGAGTTATGGAGAACACTCTGGGCATATTTCATAATGTTACTCTACCCCTCCCTCTTGCCAGAGCCAAGAGGATATGTTTCTTGGCTGTTCACTAGGTTGATCCGGTGGGGTCCCTGAAGTAAAAGTGTGAGCTCACCTAAGATTGCAGCCTCTCTAAGAAGTTTCTCCAACTACCTTACTCTGAGACTCCAGTAATTTGTCAAACTTACCATTTAGTGTCTTACTCTTTATGGCTTTTGCTCCAGGAAATTTGACTTCAGCTGGGACTCCCCGGACCTGCCTGTCTCTCCAGATTTTGTGGTGGCAGTTTGTTTCGTTGCCTCAGTTTTCTCACAGTTCCAAGAAGTTAATTTTCAATTTGTTCATCTTTTTTCTTAAGGATGGGAGTGATGACTTCCAAGCTCTTTCATGTCGGAGCTGAAACTAGTAGGAGTTCCAATTTTCTATTCTTGTGATACCTTTGTCACTTCAGTAGTAGGACCATGTTGTCCTCATAAAGCAAGTTGGAAAGAATTCCTTCCTCCTCTATTTTCTGAAATATTTTGTGTAAAAATGACATTTTATCTTCCTTAAATGCTTGGTAGAAACTGTCAGCTAAACTAATCCAGGTTTCTTTTTGAAAAGATTTTTTTTTTATTACAAATTTAGTTTCATTAATGGATATAAAGTTTTTCAGATTTTTCTATTTCTTTTTTTGTTAGTTTTTAAAAAAATTGAACTGTTTTGTAAGTCCTTCTTTCCCCAAGGAATGTTTCTATTTTATTGTCTAATTTATTGGCATGAAGTTGATTATAATATTCCCTTGTTATCTGAATATTCTGTAGAAATAGCCATTATTTCATCCTGCTATTGCTCATTTTATTCCTTTTTTTTTTTTTTTAAGGGTAGCACTAGGATTTATTGAACTGTGCCTTAGTACAGGAGCTGGGGCTTGCCCATGGTGTTCTTGATGTATAAAGCCCGGACGTTCTGCCAATTCTTCTTGAGCAAGGACACCAGGAAATTGACCACTAAGTGGATGTTGTACACAAGCTCGTCATCTGTCATCCTCATGTGGCCAACAGCCACTGCCAGACACAGCATCTTCTTCATCTGGAATTTGATGGTGGACCTCACTTCATCTACTTTGGCCACAATGTTTTCATTGTGGATCAGCAAGGAAGGGAACTTGCCAGCCTTATTCAGGCCTGGGCCCAGGATTCGTGGGATCTGTTTGATCAGAGATTTTGAAGCCAAAAATGCATAATACTTCTTGGCCAGCTTCTTGACTAATTTCTTATTCTTGTTGAGTTTCTTCAGCACCTCAATGTCCATGTGGGGAATATCCACTGCCTTGGCCTCAGCACAGTGCTGCTGATCCCCCAAAACACATACAGAGAACTTGGGGCAGGGAGTGGACTAAAGCCTGACGGTGCCCAAGAAGCATTTGTCCTTCTGAGGGTCAGAGTTCTTCAGGCTGATCTGCAGCTCCACTGCCTCCAAAAACTTCCGGCGCTTGCGCTGGTTCCCGTGCAGGACTTCCTGCACTGTCTCGTACAGGGTGTCGCGGGAGACTTTGCTGCTGATGGTTCTTCGCGCCGCAGTAACCGGAAAAGAGTTTTATTCCTTTTTTAAAATTCATTAGTCTTCACAGAGGATTATCAGGTTTATTAGTCATTTAAAGAACCAAATTTGGGTTTGTTATTATTCTCTGTCAGTCATAGACTTCTGTTCTTTATTGCTTCCTTTTTCTACTTGCTGTGTATATAATTTGTGATTTTTTTTAAATTTTCTTAAGGTGGAAAGTTAAATACTTCACTTTATAACTTTCTTCTTTTCCAATATTGGCACTTAAATCTATAAATTTCCCCTTTAAGAACTGCTTCACAGAATCTCACAAATTTTTATATGTTTTATGTTTATTATTATTCAGTTGAAAATTGCTTTGTGATTTTTTCCAGTTATGTTTATTTAGAAATGTGTTGTTTAATTTCCAATATTTGAGAAATTTCTAGATATCTTTTTATTATTTTCTAATTAAATTCTTTGTGGTCAGAGAACATACTCTGTAAGATTTCAGTCTTCTGAAATCTACTGAGATTTATTGTATATCTAGGTACATTCTTATCTTGGTGAATGTTTTATTTGCACCTGTCAAGAATTTGGTTTTTTTGGAGGTTAATGTTAATGTCAATGAGATCACAATGATAGATAATGTTTTTTACATCCTGTATATTTGTACTGTTTCTATATATTCTATTAGTAACTACGAAAGGGTGTTTAACACTCCAATTATGATTGTAGATTTATCTGTTTCTCCCTTTAGTTCCATCAGTTTTTGTTTCATATTTTTTTATTCTTTCTTATTAGGTGCATATTTAAGCTTGTTATGTATTCTATTGATTGAGCTTTTTATTATTATATAACATCCTCTTTATTTCTTCACTTGATCTTAGCCAAAAGGCCGAGAAGCGATTAACATCCTCTTTATTTCTTGTAATACTTACTGTTTTGAATTATACCTTATTTTATATTAATATAGCCATAACAGTTTTTTAAATCTAACTGCTATGCCGTATAGATCATTCATCCTTTTATTTTCAATCTCTGTTTTTTAATGTACCTATCTTGTGGAGAGCATTTAGTTGGAATATGCTTTTTAAAACTACTCATATAATATCTGTCCTTTCAGTATTTAGTCTATTTTCTTTTAATGTAATTATTGGTAATTTTGGGTTAAAGTCTGCTATTTTAACCTGTGCATTCTATTTGCATCATTTGTTTTTTGTTCCTCTTTTGAGGTCTACTTTTGGTTTAATTGAATATTTCTAGTGTTTTATTTTCTTTCATGCTTTTTAGCTCTATCTATTTATATGATTATTTTGGTGGTTGCTTTACTAAATACAATATGCATCTTACTCTCATTCATGTATTTAGAATATTTTATCATTATACAATTTGCATATCACAAATTGCAGACGTAAGAATCTTACAATGGCATTCTTACAACCTCCCTCTTTTGTTCTAAGTTGTCAAATATTTTCATTTTATGTTAGTTATAAAGCACTTTACAATTATATTACTTTTCGTTTAACTCACCTTTTGTGTTTCTCTTCCTTCGGTAGGAAGTCTTGTGCTGCCTTTTGTACAATGCCAGAGAAGAGTCACTTCTCTTTGTTCAGTTTTATGGTTGCTTAACATGGTTGGGCAAATCTGGTACAAGTTAATCTCTTATATTTGGAAGTGGAAGTCCCACACTGTTATCTTTTAAAGAGAATAACTTCTCACTCAGTGGAATTAGAACTGGAAGTTGCTGATTCCAATCTTGTACAGTATTCTTTATTTTGGCACTATGATATGTATTCTCCTCAGAAGTGGTCCCTGACTTTGATATCTATTGTCTAATTTTGTTGGCGAGAGCATCTAAATACAAAATTCAGGCAGTGAGGAGCTAAAACCAGAATGCCTATTTGGCAGGTTAGTAAATATTTATAGTTAATTTTTCCTTCATATTAAAAAAATTGAGTGTTAAACTTTATATGGTATAACTTAACATTATATATTTCAACATATTATAGGAGACATGAAAACATCTAAATGTGTTGTATGATATTAACACTTGCCCATTTTACTCAATTTTGAAGCTTATCACGTTCTACAATATGAATAATAGTTAAAAGAATGTGGTTAAGTTACTCTGAGAATTTTACATTTTGGGTTTCTTTCTTCTGTGAGTTTCTAATTTTGATATTTACTATTACCTATTAGGGATTTTCAACATTTAATATATTTCATAGTAGTTTTTGTATAATCAACAAAGGGAAAAAGACATGTGTTAAACAGAATTTTACATAACAAAGTATTTGGCATGGATCAGATTACAGTGGCTATTTTTGAACATAACAAAGCCCATGTTTCCTTATTTGATCTTAAGTGAAGACTGAAGCAGCTGGTTGCCATCCTCTTTCTTTCACCCAACAGACCTAAGAGTCCTGTTTTTTAGCTGCTACTCCTGGTGTTTCTGTTTCTATTGTTTTTATTTTTTGTTTTATTTTTTAACTCACTGCATTCCTTCAAAATGTTTCTATACATTTTCTTCTTACTGTTTTGGATGTATATTGGAGACTATAAACTCTCCTTACTTCTTGCCTAGTATTATGCCTAAAAATGTTTTGCCTTTAGGTTAAATTTTCTTAATTAATATCTCATTTTAAAAGAATATCTATTTTTGTGTCCTGTGAAATTTTCTGAGCCAACTCCTCCTCAATCTTGAGAATTGTGTTTTCAAAAAATCCCTGCAGTTGGAGATCTAGTGGAAGTTCTTTTTGTCTTGTGTGATAATAATACTTTGAGGGTCATGTATTCTGAGTGAAAGCAAGAAAGCTCTTATTAGTAGTTTTTACTTTTACCAAAGTAAAACAATAAAGATGTCCTGTGTTACTGTATTTTACTTAGTAACAAAGTGTCCTGTACTATTAATATATATAAATCTCTTGTTTGCTAAAAACCCTGGATATCCTTCCTTCTCTTCCTTAATCTGATGATTTATAATTGTGCATTCTTTTGCTCCAGTTAATATGTACACTAAGGAGTGTTTCTTTTTATGTTTGATACTCCATGCAGATGGTTGATGGCTTTATGACTTTATAACTTAGTCTGGTTGGCTCCCTCTGTTCAAGTCCCACAAGGTGGAGTAACTCATTGCCAGAGCTGGAATAAGCTTTTTCATGTATTTAACATGATCTTCCACTCATTTTTTACTTACTATTTTTCTCTTCCACCCTGAGTTTCTTTCCTTTCACATTCTCTTCAGGAAAAATTATTTATGATTCACATATATTTGATTTTTATGTAAGGAGAACTTGAGCTTGGGAAGGATTTGATATATCTATTTGTGTCCATTGTTTAAAGGACTTAGTAAAACATTCTATTTTAGAATAACTCTTCAAATTTATTATTATCTTGAACATATGGTAGATGGTCAATGAGTTCTTATTTTATGAGTAAGAAGTCTTAAAGTTTTAGCCACTGCTTCCCACTATCCACGCACATATAATTCAACATCTGATTTCTTTCCAGTTGTGTTTTAAATAAATAATTACAATTATTTTCCCTAGTTCATACGCAAATCCTGGCTTTTCTAGAGACTTTTCACGTATACAATTCATTTGTTCTTGCAATTCAGAAAACTTAGATGTTGAAATTTAATAAAAATGCAAACAACCAAGCAAAGTGGCAAAAGAAAACATGTTGAAATGGAGATTTCTACAAACTAATTTTTCAGAATTTATGGTTATTAATCATCTGAAACAGAAATTGTTAAATGATATATTACTGGATCTGGAGGACTCCCAAAATTTAGAGAGAAGTTAAATAATTTTCCTACCTTAAACTGGTCCTAACAAAAGCTTAAGAAAAAGAAACTGAGGTTAGTAATCTGTACAGACTTCATAGGAAATGTCCCATCCAGTTGCAAAACAGGGGCTGATTTTACTAGGAAGTCTTCTGAACCTTTAAAACTGAGGACCAATCTCTAGTATATGCTGGTTTTATCAAAGTTCAGCCATCCCGTGAAGCTAACTTAAAGTAACCTGGGAGCTTTTCAAATCACTTTAAAGATCTTATCTTCATAACACTTTAGCTCCTGGTAATCTTTATGGGTATGTCTGTTGATAAGAGGTTGACACTGGACATTACTGCAAAATCAACAACTTAATTGAGATAATGTTGAATGATCTCATAGGAACTGATAGAAATTAAATATTAAAATATGGTTTTCAGCTTCAAACTCATATATTCAATAACCTTCTCCACACATATATCTACTTTTACATATTCAAAAGCTTACACGTCCAAAATTCAACTCCCCAAAATATCCCTCTGTCCCAACTCTGCACCTCTTGTGGTTTTCTCCACTTGTTTCTGTTCTCAAATGCTGACATTACCCACAGCTCTTTCTCTCTCTATACTCCAAGTCTGACCCAGCTACAAAGCCTCGTGACGCTATCTTTTATATGTCTAGAATCTGCTGTCTCCACTGCTACCACCATTATCTAAATTACATCACTTCTTGCCTAAATTATTGAAATTTTATCTTATTTACTGGATGAAGTTATTTATGGGTTACTATGGTCTAGGCACTGTGCTTAGAGCTTTACCTTCATGATATTAACTAGTCTTCATAATTACTTTAAAAGATGATTACTAGCCCTATTTTGCATATTAGGGAGCTGAGACTTTAAAAAATAATTTCCCTAAAATCACACAGCTTATAAATCACAGAGGCAGTATTTGAACCCAATCTGTTTAATTCTACATCAGGACTTAGAACACCTCTATGATGCTTATCTTTGTGGCAATCTTAGTTCTAATATACTATAAAACTAGGGCAAAGTTGGGGCACCTGGGTGGCTCAGTCGTTAAGCCTCTGCCTTTGGCTCAGGTCATGGTCCTGGGGTCCTGGGATTAAGCCCGCATCAGGTTCCCTGCTCAGCGGGGAGCCTGATTCTCCCTCTCCCTGTACCCCTCCACCCAGCTGTGCTCTCTCTCACTATCTCTCCCTCTCAAATAAATAAAATCTTAAAAAAAAAA